GAAAAGCAGATGGCTCACTTCAATTGAAATGGATTAAGGAACACTCATAAAAGCAGCTCCATCGGCAGATCCGAGAGAACCTCTGGCAGAGAGGCAAACTACTGCAGGGAGAAACTACTTGAACTGGTATAGCTCTGGTTGCAAAATGAGGTGTTCACAACTGCCACAGACTAGTTTGCACCAAATCCTATGTTTCAGGAGACCAAAGGGTCTGGGAAAAATTATTTCTGAGACACGGCCAGCTTATAGCACTCTGTTTTAGCTGCGAGCATGGAGCTTTTCCTCTTACCGCTTGTAAAAATAGGAATCAATACTCTAGCTTTCTTCTTTAAAAAACAAACAAACAGCAACAACAACAGGTGAGAGATACCTGTCAAGCTATTTTTCTTCTCCAGTCTGTTAGCTGGATTAGCACTGATCACAAGATGAAGCTGACTGAGTGAGAAGTCACACTATTCTGGTATCACTAGCAAAGTTCTAAATTCATAGTTACACTTCCAGTAAAAGCTCATCTTCTACGCTGGAATCCTAGATGTAATATATCATGAAAACAAGAGACACTGATAAAATTCAGTGGTGCAACCTACGATGTGCTACCAAGCAAAATCCAGCTTGGCATTTAGAGTCTACATTATTTTAAATCTAACAGAGAGCAAAGTTGGTGCCATGCACTCGAACAGTGTAAGTATGACCCCAAATTTGGTACAGACAGAAGCTGGCACAATAGATTAGCTCAGTTGCAAGTAGCATCATTTTGGGGGGAAGAAAGTGTATTCACAAAAGCTAAGTCAGGGTAGGCTCTTCCTCTGCATTATTCTTGAAGGAGATAAATCACGAACTTATGGAACTCAGCCACGTCAGATAAATTCACTTAGCTGCACATCTTTTTTTTGCTGCAGGAACGAGTATATGCACACCACATTCACCAAGCATGTTATGATATAGACAATTTGAAGAAATTACTTAGAATTTAAACTATATATTAAAGAGCGGGGATGAATACAGAAGATCATCACAATTTTCACAGCTCAGCACTAGACAAGAAGCACGTGAACAGTTCTCTGAAACAACCTGCACGCGCTCAGCAAATCCTCTGTCCTATGCTTATTACTTAAGAGTAGAATCAGTTTCTACAACAAATTGTAACAGACAAAGTAGAGATTTGTGTTCGGTTTGTTGAGTAAATATATTTTCTCCAGTAGTATAAAGACTCTCCCAGAGTATAAAGTTCTATACAATAAAGATACAGAAAATATCAATAAATTTTCTAAGTCAAATTATTGCCTTCACTGGGCAGCTGATTTTTTACTACAATTCATATATGGCAAGATGAATGTATTAGCCATGCTTTAAAAGAAAAAAGAATAAGAAAGATATTGTCATGATTTGCTGGCAAAAAAAGGAGAGATTCAGCAGGCAGGGTGGTTACAATCGGATATCTGATTAAACTACAGTAAACTTTACCTTGAAAAGATCAGCACACACTTGAGCTTTAGCCAGCCACATCATCCTGTAAATTGCTTTCAAGATAAGCTAGTTCATAAATTCTCCTAGCAAAGCTCCGGTACTGCAGGGAAGTCCTCCTTCAGACAAAAATATGGCATTTAATGGTACTTGGGAAATAGACAGAAATGAAAACTATGAAAAGTTCATGGAGGCAATGGGTAAGCCTTACTTTTCCAATCCTTTCTAAAAGGATAATACCACTATTACTGAACGTAAACTCTATCTGGCTATGAACTACCTTTTGGCTAGCCTGTCGATTTGCTGTCTGATGCTCTGCTTTTGTGTAGCGGCCCGTATTTATTTTCAAAATATTCAATTTTTTTCTCTCTAGGGAAAAAAATAAGCTATTGGGAAAAGTTCGGATTCCCCCTACCTTATGTTTATCTAAAGTAACTAACTCCAGCATTGGTGTTTCACATTTACATTTGGTATGGCAAGGCAGAGGGAGGAATCTCTCAGTCTAATTTGTCTTGGAAGGGTTCCAAGAAGTTGAATGATGATAA